ACCTTTTATTATTAGCTAAAAATTGAAAACTAAATGAATTCAAAATAAAATTATTACTTAATTAATAAGATAAACAAAATTAAAAAAACTTATTTAAATTTAATTTGAATTTTATAAAATAAAAAAAACTTTTAGATTAGGTCATTTATTTAAATTTTAAAATAATAAGTAAAAAAAATCAAAAAATAAATTAAAAATTGACATCCACCATGCGTCAATATTACAGTCTATATTCATTTATTTTTATTTTGATGGAATATATTCAAATTATCAGCATCCCTCAATTTTAATACTCTATATATACTCTTCTTTGAGTAGTCCATTGCGCCAAACAAAGATATGAGGATCTTCACAAAGCTCTCTGCACCACTCTGCCTCCTTTTTGTCTTCTTCTGTCTTAAAACTGCCTTCTCATCCTCTATACATGCTTCTTCCTTCTCAACAACGCATCTCTGCTCTCATGAGGAGGCTCTTGCTTTGCTGCAATTCAAGACATCCTTCTCCATCGATTACACTGTTTGGGAAAATTATTGTGGGCAAAATTATTCTAAGATGGAGTCATGGAAGGAAGGTATAGACTGTTGTTCCTGGGATGGGGTTAGCTGTGATAATGTCACAGGCCATGTAATTGCCCTTAATCTCAGCTGCAGTTTCCTTTATGGCACCTTTCGTTCCAACAGCACTCTTTTCTTCCTCAAAAACCTGCAGAGCCTCAATCTTTCCTGGAATGATTTTAGGCATTCCAAGATTCCATCGGAAATCAGTCAGTTTACTAGACTAAAGCATCTTGATGTCTCTTTTTCTCAATTTTCGGGCCAAGTTCCGGAAGAAATTGCTCACCTCCCCAAGTTAGTTTCTCTCAATCTCTCATCTAGCGACTTTTATGATGATTCTCTTGAATTGATCCTTGAAACAACTACCTTCAAAAATCTTGTTCATAACTTGAGTGAGGTGAGAGAACTTGTGCTTGGTGGAGTGAACATGGCATCTGCTAATCCTCGTTTCTTCATGAATCTCTCTTCTTCATTGACTACTCTTGATCTTTCCAACAGTGTGTTAAGAGGAAACTTTCCAAACAGTATTTTCCGCTTTCCGAATCTCAAGAATTTTTTTTTAAGTGGAAGCGAAAACCTCACTATTGATCTTCCTAGTTCCAATTGGAGCAGTCCTCTCCAACAGTTGTATTTACATGATATGGATTGCGGAAGGCGATTGCCAGAGTCTATAGGAGATCTAAAGTCATTACAATCTCTAAGCCTCGTTTATAACAATTTTAGAGGACAAATCCCATCATCACTTGCAAACCTCACCCAACTTACCTCTCTTTCCCTTTCCAATAATCAGTTTTCTGGCGTGTTGCCACCTTGGATTTTCACCCTGCCTTTGTTAGAGGACTTGTATCCCAATCATAACAAATTTCAAGGTCAAATAAATCAATTCTCACAAAAATCACTCATACATCTAGATTTGTCAAACAATAAACTCCAGGGCTCAATTCCCAACTCAATTGCTAACTTAGTAAATCTTAGTTATCTTGATTTATCATCAAATCATTTTAGTGATTTTGTAGAACTTGACATGTTCTTGGCACTTCAAAATCTGGAAACCATCATTCTTTCATCCAATAATCTGTCCTTGAGAATGAATGTTGATGCCAACTTCACATTACCCAAACTAACTGATGTTTTCTTGTCTTCTTGTAACTTGAGTGAATTCCCCAATTTCTTAAGACATTCAAATGGTCTACAAAGCCTAGTGCTATCCAAAAATAGCATTCATGGAAATATTCCCGAATGGATATGTGAAAAGGATGATCTCAAAATTCTTGATCTTTCTCATAACAATTTAATCGGGAAGATTCCAAATCGTCTTCCTAAGTTTCTCTCAGTGTTGAATTTGCAGGCCAATTACTTTGATGGAAATATTCCATTTGGGTTTCCAGAGGGCTGTGGATTACAAAATCTCAACTTGCATGGAAATCAAATGGAAGGGCTATTACCAAGATCTTTAGTGAATTGTAGCATGTTAGAGGTTCTAGATGTTGGCAACAACAACATAAGTGATACATTCCCTCATTGGTTGGAATCTCTACCAGACCTTCAAGTGCTTGTCTTAAGGTCCAACAAGTTCCACGGTTTTGTGCAGAGCACCAAAGAAAGTCCATCTTTTCCCAAGTTGCGAGTTCTTGACCTCTCCAGCAATGATTTTCGTGGCCCTTTGCCTGTTCGGTACATTGAAAATTTTAAAGCGATGATGGACATTTATAGAGATGAGGGTTCTCCTGAATACATGAATATCGGTTCTTATCAATATTCACTGGTTGTGACATTGAAGGGATTCGACTATGAGCTGCAGAGAATCTTGACCATATTCAGTAGTATTCATCTCTCAAATAACATGTTTGAGGGAGAAATTCCAGATGTTATTGGAAAGCTTAGTTCTCTCAAAGGGCTTAATCTTTCTCATAACAACCTTACTCGTCATATCCCACCGTCACTAGGGACTTTGACGGATCTGGAATGGTTGGATCTCTCTTCCAATGAGCTGGTGGGGAAAATTCCTGATGAATTGGTATCTTTGACACAACTCTCTGTATTGGATCTTTCAAATAATCATCTTGGAGGGCGCATACCACAGGGCAATCAGTTCAACACCTTTGGAAATGGTTCTTATGAAGGAAACAATGGACTGTGTGGAATCCCATTGTCAAAATCTTGTGATGGAATTGGGACACCACCGAGCTTCTTCCAAGAAAAAGATGAGTTTTGGAGATTTGGCTGGAGAGTTGTGGTGTTAGGCTATGGATGTGGAGTTTTTGTTGGACTGGAGATGGGATATCATGTCTTCCGAGCAGGAAAACCAAAATGGTTTGTGTCTTTGTTTGATGGCCGACCAAGTCAAAGTGGAAGGAAGATGAGGAAAGCCAGAAGACTTGTTCAAAGAAGAAGCTAGTTGCAGAGTTGATGTTTTAGAGCTTTTGATTTAATGTTTCCTGAATAAAGTGCTTTTCAGGTTTGAAGTTCTTGTTATGGCTGGCATTGGCTTGTCTAAAATTGTCAGCCTTCTCTTGTCTTTATTATGCTTTGTAATTTTGTCTTTCTTTATTGTAAAATATATTTGAAGGTTCAAGCTGTTAAACTTTCTTTATTAATGTACTTCCTTAAGCCGGTTGGTATCAAGCTGGTAACGAAGGTAACTCGAGTTTTTTTTTTTTTATTATTTTTTTTTTGAAAATAGGCAATGGAGGTATCTCAAGTTTCGTTCATTACAATTGAGATTCCCATTAGCACGGTCATAAAAATTATTGCTTTACATTCTTGGACACAAGGAGAAGCTTGAATTTTGAGGTGGGATTTTGATGGAATCACTTCATAATCATGGAGCCTAGATTTTTGGATGGTTATTGTTGTAGGGATATAACTGTAATTGTAAAATTGGGAAGGGTAAGTTCTGTGATGGAATTGGGACACCGCCGAGCTACTTCCAAGAAAAAGATGAGTTGTGGAGATTTGGGTGGAGAGTTGTGGTGTTAGGCTATGGATGTGGAGTTGTTTTTGGACTGCTGATGGGATATCTTGTCTTCCGAACAGGAAAACCAAAATGGTTTGTGTCTTTGT